CTGTATCCTTCCTCCCTCCCTTCCCTCCCTCCTGTATCCATCCACCCCTCCTCCCCCCCCTCCCTCCCTCCTCCCCTCCTTCCCTCCTTCCTTCTTTCCCCCTCACTCCCTCTTGTATCCATCCATCTATTCATGCACTCTTCCTTCCCTCCCTCCATCCTGTATCCTTCCTCCCTCCCTTCCCTCCCTCCTGTATCCATCCACCCATCCTCCCTCCCTTCCCTCCTTCCTCCCCTCCTTCCCTCCTTCCTTCTTTCCCCCTCACTCCCTCTTGTATCCATCCATCCATTCATGCACTCTTCCTTCCCTCCCTTCCTCCTGTATCCTTTCTCCCTTCCTTCCCACCCTCCTGTATCCATCCATCCATCCTCTCTCCTTTGCCTCCCTCCTGTATCCATCCATCCATCCATCCTTCCCATTTAAAATGTCCTCCATATTTTGAGAAACTGCAATTAAAAGCTTCATAAAGAATACGACAATTAACACAAAGTGATACAAAGCAGAATGAACAGAGAAAAGCACGAAGAAAAAAGGAAGAGAGAAAGAAAGGGAGAAGGAAGGAAAGAAAGAGTGAAAAACAAATAGAAAGAAGCCTCCGGTTTCCTTCGCAGCAGACAGAAGTGCAATTACAACATTATCTCCATGGTTACAATAGAAGCTACCTTCCCTCCCCTGTTATCCATTTCTTTTCCTCATCATCAAAACCAGAAGTCATCAGTGCAATCTCCCCACCACCCCCCCATCCCGTTTCGTGCAAAAAGTCTATCAGGAATTTCCATTCAACCACAAATGTAGACATTGTTTTCCCCCCCTCCCCCTCTGATCAAAGAAGCCAATTTAGCTCTCTCTCCAAGTTCAATCATCTTCACCCAAGGACAACGGCACTTCCTGGGATGCTCACAGGAGAAGCTGGCAGCTCCATCCAGCCAGGGAGAGGAGGCTGAATTTTAATCATTGAAACTGGGCGTGAATCGTCCTTCACCCATCCTATTTTATTCTGTTAAATGAGAGGAGCTCCTTCTTTCGTCTCTTTCTTCTTTCTTCTT